TCTCTTCATCTTCTCTGCCTAATGAAGATGCCCATCATCTTCATAGCACTCCTTATTAAAAGAGGCCAACCTGTAGAAGCCGAGGAGATTTTCAAAGAGAGTAAAAATCCCGGTAAGAGTGTAACATAATACGAGTAGAGATTTACCTTATTGGAAGGATAAAAGCCTCAGTCTTGTGCATGTGGTGGTAGAAGTGTGTCCCAATGAATCGGCTCTGAACTTAATTAGTCAAGGAAGTCGCCCCCCCCCCCCCTTAAAAAAACTCTTTAAATGATGTGTGTCCTGTGGTCAAATGTGGGTGCTGCAGTCCATTTTTATAAACTAAAAGATTTTCTCACCCCTATTGACACAGTCACAGATAAGTAGATGAATACATTATTATATCTGGTGATAGCACTCTTTTACATAGTGAGCACTTACTACACTTATTATGGTAATATGCCACCAGCATTAGAAAGAGCGTGGTTGTTTGCCATCCTGCTGTTATAGTTCTGAACAACTCATTAAAGGAACATTACAACTGACTCATTTTTCACTTCACACACACACATTTCACTGTAATATCCAGTTGCTGGTAATTTAAACTGCAGCTTGAGGCAATATTAGACTGCTTCGATTCACCGTTAGCATTGTTAGCTCAATGTTAGCATCTAGCCTGCTTCACCCGATATTAGAGTAAAAAAAGATGTTGTGGTTTCTAACCCCTACATCACACTGGAAGCAAAAGTGACGTGGAACGGCAGCAAAACAGCAGCACTTCATTATAGCCTATGAAGTGTAACAAACCAGCAGCAACACGACAATCTTCAGAAGCGGCGCGCTGCTAAAGATAGGATCAAGTTAGATTTTTTCCGCGACTCGATTCTGGGATGCATCAGTTACTGCAATCGTCATAGAGCTTGACAGGAAATTACACACAGTTTCAGTGTAAAACCCTTGGTAATTTTCAAAATAAAAGTATTGCATTGATGCAATTTCATGAAGCTTACATGTGACCTAACGGCTATTTTACTCACAGCACCATTCCGGAAGTGCAGCAGTGTTTTTCATGGCTTTAGTCCTGGCAGTGGGGAGAAACAACATCAAATGTCATTTACTTCTTTTTGGTTTAATGGCGGATTGCATAAACAAATCGTGACCTGAAGTGTCGAGGGATCGTGTGGTCTTGCGAGTCAAGCGAGGAGCATGGCAGAGAAGCCGCTTAGCTGCTGAGACTCTCCCGGTGTGTACTTCAGTGCAGTGGTTGTCACGAGTAAACCGTTACACTGCCGTTCCTCTGCGCTTTTGCTTCCAGTGTGCAGTAGGCGTTAGGGATACAAGAAATAACTTCTGGGTCACTCCTGTTTACTGGCTTTGGTTCTTTGGAGTGTATGTTGGCACTGCAGCGTTAGCTCACTGCAGATTCAGCAACCTTGCAAGCTTACAGGTTGTAAAGAAAGACTTTGTCCCTCTTTGATCATTTTGAAAGGAGTAAAACTGACAACCCCCTCAGCTGACTGATAGAGACATTAGACATTTGCTATTATTTCTGCAGTATTCTTACTTAATGTTTGTTTAATTTATTATGGAAGATACTAGGTTTACAGATAAAGCGTAAAACATACTTTACAGAGAATGTTCTCGTTTGGCCTGGTTATTCTATAATATGTGCTGAATAGTTGTTTCAGTGTAAGGTTTGAAACCCAATTACCTAACAACAGCTGAGACAGCCTATGCAGTCATAATTAGGTAGCATAATAAACCCATCGTGCCCCACTGTATTTATTATTTGGATTGATATTGTGGAAATACAAATACAAAATATTGGTACAAATACAAAAAGTACATGGACATAGTTGGGTAACACTTTAAGATAATGGTCCCTTTATTAACATTATTTAGTGCATTATTAAGCATTAGCAAACAAATGATCCCTTTTCTTAACATATCCAATATTGTTAAATATAAAGTGTTCTTAAGGTTAGGACACTTTATTTATTAGTTTAGTAATTCTTAATAATGCACTGAGTAATGTTAATAAAGGGATCCTTATTGTAAAGGGCTACCAATAATTGATATGCATACTCTTATTTTTTTTTTAATATTCACTTTCAATTCATCAAAAAATATTCCTCTGAAAAAATAGAGTTTGGGTAAATTATAAATGCCCCAACATAATACTCCCAAAGTCCATCCATCACATTTAATTACTAGAATTTATAACGTCTGTTCTTGTATTTATAACAGCTTCATTAGTTCAAAAAGCACCCAAAATCGCAAAACAATAAATTACACTGTTGAAGAAAGTGATCCCGCTTGATAAACAGTAGAATTGGTTCGCTTTGTGTAAATAATGAGAGCTCAAACCATTGTTTTTAATTTGTAATTGCATGTAATGGAGTGCAATCCACATAATTTAGAAATAATCATTGCATCAACACAGAAAATGGCTCGAAACGACTGCAACATGCGTTTAGTGGCATAATTCAATGACTGGTGCTTATACAATGGAAACCAAGTATTTACTTTACCTTTGAAATTATAGATTGAGTTGTGGAAGAAAAAGCAACTCGTGAAGATTTGAAGTACAGTGGAGACTTGTGGAAATGGAGTACATAAATTAGACGTACAAAAATGGTTTTCATGTGTGGATCAGTGCTGTAGGGCTTATTGACTTGGCATACCTCTGCATTCCACGGGCAACTGGTAGTACATCAGCTTAGCATGAAATACATGTGCTGAATTCACTTGAAATACACACAGCCCAGCTGGGTTTCTATGTCAAACATCTTCATTTGGTTTAGTTTTTTCTCTATGAGCCAAATTTTTCAACATGCCATGTGTACATGTAGTATTTACCTCAAACAGTCATGTCCTGGTCTGATTTAATCTCAGTTTGCCTTTATTGGATTCCTGAAGCCAGGCATGGCGACTGCCACTCTAGCTGTCTGGAGGTTGTCCTTCAACAAAAGGGAAACCACAATGTTCTCCTCCAACAGCTTTGCACGTTGGCATGTGTCCATCCTTTGTACATGACTACATGAGCTGCCTTTGTTTCTCTGGTGTGGGATCAGGCATGGCTGTGCCGTGTGTTTGATGGAAATGTTATGCAGGGAAAGGACCATGTGGCAGTCTTGAATATATGCACATCCGTAACGGGATACTCGTGAGTTCCTCCTGTTAGCCTTATTAGGCTGTCTTCTTGTGACGGCAAACAAACTGGTGAGTACTTTAGGATGGAGGAGATTCCTAAGGCGGGTGTCTTGACTGGATACTGTACATGTTGTTGTGCCTCTAACTCCAGGACAGGGGCACGGTGCAGATGCTTTACAGAACTACAGAGTATCACAGTGACAGTGGTTCTCAGAGATAAAATATAGAACTCAAAGTGTTACCATCCCATTGATGCACAAAGCAATAAAGTCATTTCCCCTCCACTTCCAATTTGAAGCATTGTAATTATTGTTGTTCCTTTTTTGGGAAGAGAGGGTGTGCAATCATCTGCTAAATCAAAGTGTGCAGCGTAAGCTGAGTCACTGGAGTGACTTTGATTCTGGAACAACAGTTGTAGCAAAAGTTTGACATAGTATTTAATAAAGTTATTCATAAAGAATACAAACAGAACACACACATGCAACCGTATAACCTTATATTACAGAGGCGTGGCGGTTCCAGTCTTCCAGTCAATGGATTTTCAACAGAGAACATGTGCCGAGGGAGAGACTTCCTACTTTATCGCTTGGACTCAGGGGAGCCAGTGTGTGTGTGTGTGTGTGTGTGTGAGTGTGTGTGTGTGTGTGTGTGTGTGTGTGTGTGTGTGTGTGTGTGTGTGTGTGTGTGTGTGTGTGTGTGTGTGTGTGTGTGTGCGTGCGTGCGTGCGCGCATGGGGCTCGGCATACATAAATCTTGCGTGGCGCCCCTCCCTCTCTGACACCTCCACCCTTTCATTCACACAGAGGCTGATACACTGAGGCCTGCAGGCCTCACCAAGCTTCCTACACGGCGCTTTTCATCCTCAGCCTCTCTTAGCTGTAGGCTGACCTGTGGCACCCTGAACTAATCATAATGGACGCCAGACAACGTGAGGTGATCACGCCTCCCTCTGACCTGACAATATTTAAGGTCACTGGGCTATGTAATTCTAGAGTAGACCACCCATGCTGCAACGAGTCATTAAGTTTATGTCTGAGCTTTGTTTTTGTGTGTTCAAAAAAAAGGAAAACACAATTATTTTTCAAACGTAAATGAATAAATACAGAGACACTCAACAAAAGGCTTGTTTTGTGAGTAGGGTCTCTGATCTGATTAGATGAAAAATATTGTATTACCTCATAATAAATTTTAAAAAGCTAATTTTATCTTATCTCTTCACAAAAACAATAATTTGTACAATAATAAATGAAAAATATTTGTAAATAAATTACATTATTCATAATTTGTGCAACTTTTTACATGAATGCAATTTTTTAACAATCTTGTTTTCAAAACAATACAATTTTGAACATTTTGCAATTGATTATTTTTTATTTTCCATGTCATCAGCAACACTACCAAAGAAATACGTGATGAAATACAAATGCAGAGTACTTAGAGGGAATAAAAGGTGCTGTTGAGCAGTTTGTCATTTTTTCTATTTGTTTTGCTCACGTGCATGACAAAATCCACTTTCCTTCATGTATTACATGGTGGTGTGGTGATTTTTAATCGAGTAATTTGTAGAAAGTGGTCTGTTATCAACAGCATGACAAGCATAAATTAATCACATCAAAGTCACCGCTTATGTTGGGAAGTCCTGTGAGGCTGCTTATGTGCTTTAGCCTGTGTTGGGACTCGCCGCCTGCTCTGCATGTCTGGCCATGACACTCTAACAGGAGGTTAACAGAATATTATACAGTGCAGATTTTTTACAGGGTTACATCTTTGCAGAAGCTGGTGTTTAGTTGTGAGAAGAAGGAAAAAGCATGACAGCGAGGTTGAGTGTGATTTATTTGCTTTGTGGGTGACTTTTTGTCTCTTCACAGCTCCATCCACAGTATCCATCATGCACCAGGTCAGTCGCACCGTGGACAGCATCACCCTCTCCTGGTCCCAGCCAGACCAGCCTAATGGAGTCATCTTAGACTATGAACTACAGTATTATGAAAAGGTACACACATCATGCACACTGACCTAACAGTGCACAAACTCTTTAATAATCCTCGTAAATGCATTTCTGTGTCTTCATATTAGACTAAATAAATCGTACGTTAAGAGCAAATATTGAGCCCCATTTTTTGTTATGCATGCTAATTCAGAATCTCCTCACGCCCGTTTGCATTGCAGCAGGTCCTGGCAGGCATGTAGCTTCTGAATATTGCTAAGAACCTCTGCTCACTCTTGTCCTATTACAATCACGGTCAGTCACTGGGAAAGAAAACCACACTCAGCCCTGCAGTAGGGCCACTGGGGATGGATGTGCAGAGACTTGTGGTTGAAACAATGCTATGCTGACTGATGTAAAAATAGTTTATAAGGGGCAAGCGCCACTAAATCAGCAAACTTTCTCACAAAAAAAGACTTGCAGTCATAAATATGCATTTATTCAAACACACCAACTGATTGGAAACACACCCATAAGCAAATGCAGATAAACACAGTTTGTCATACTTTCATCTAAAAGCTGTGTTATCCCTCTTTTGACTATAATTCCCTTCACTGACACTGCTGCAGAGAGCTGTCAAAACAATTGTCCCAGCCCCTGTTGTGACTCAGAAGTGTGTGCTGAGGAGGAAGCAGCTAAAAAAACCCCTGGTGTTGGAGCTCAAATCTGTCAACAGTCTGGAGAAGAAAAGCATGGCAGTGAAATACAACTCACAAGACGTGACTCGGGAGCCGCCTGACCTGAAACTGCCACCAAATCTACCTTCTTAACAGCAGCTGCTAGATGGCAGCTTATTGTGGTCTTCTTCATCAAACATAAATGTGACTTCAGACATATCACAGCTAGTTTGTCAAATAGCATTTGCGCCTATTTTTTCATCATTGTGAAGTAACATTTAAGTTTCTTGTTTCTCCCCCTGCTGGTTGAAAGTGGAATTACAATTGCTCTTGCGAGTGCGAACCATGAGCTAACACTAACAGGCTAACTCAAGCCAACTAATACTAAATAAGCCACAAAGTAAAAGGATCCACACTGTTAGACAAAAAAAAATTACTTTTAAATCCTGTAGCAACAAAGCTAGGTCACCATCAGTCCGTGACTTCATAGCCTCATTCAGGTCCCTCAGACGATTGTAAGCTGAACCAATGTTTATGCTGGTTTTAATTCTTTACTCTGCCTCCAAAGACATTACTTTCTTACATTTACTTCCTGGCTCCACCGTGATTCCAACAAAGGAGCAAAACTCTTTTTTTTCTTGTGCATTTTATTGATGGTTAGCAAACTGAAAAAAAGCTAACCACTGGTATTTATAGTAGTTACACAGTAAACAGCCATTGTCATAAAGCAGATAAGGATCTCACACTAGTAAAGCTACTCAAACCACAAAAGTTGTGAACTCCAGTTCCTGGCCAGAAGGTGGCTACAGAGGGTTATCCCATGAAGCTTGTGGCTCAAAAAACGCAGAAAAGAGTTTAAAACAATTGTTTAAATTCTTAATAACTTTTTTGCATAACTTTAAAGGTGTGGAACACAGAAAAAACATATTTAAATTATTATTTCTGAATATAATCAGTCACTGTGAGTGTTTCATGCAGGCTGAACATGAAAATAGTCTCCTACACCTATCTCCTGCATTAGCTGCATTAGAAAACAGACAGTGAAACTCTAGGATTAGAAAATCCTGACAGATCTATGTCACACTGTCACTAACATTCATGGACTCACCCATCTTGGCTCACGACGGGGAAGGCTGTTGTTGGTTCAGTCCAGGAAACAGCTGCGAACGTCTCAGCTAATAGAAGCTAACCATTAGCATTAGCAACTCCACCACACAGCAGAACTCCTCAAGGCTTCTGTTATTTGTGGAGATAAAACATCAACATTACAGAGCAAACAGAGCCAGTGGTAGAGTCACAATGTTAGCCAATCAGATGTGAGATGTCCAAATCTCTGGACATAAAACCCCAGAATTCTGCCATGTGGCATTTAGCTAGTTCTACTACGTGACATGGTGTTAATTTATGAATTTGGCATTTTAAAAATGATATTCTAAATTTGATGCATTGTCCTTGTGCCCCCAGGACCAAACAGAGTACAACTCCAGCACCATCAGAAGCCAGACCAACACAGCCGTTGTCCGCGGCCTCAAGCCAGGAGGCATCTATGTATTCCAGGTCCGGGCCCGCACTGTAGCTGGGTTTGGACGCTACAGTGGCAAGCTGTACTTCCAGACCATGACGGAGGGTGAGAATTCAACCAGCGTTCACTACAGCACGCGGAGTTCTTATCACCTTTCACGCGTGGCTTTGCAACACACCACGTAGAGCGATATGCATGCAGACAGCTGCAAGAATGAGGAGGCAAATTTAAACAGTTTGAGTAAAAACCAATCATCTCATGTATCCTTATTTTTATACTTAAAACTATAATAATCATGTGTTACACAAGTGCTTCTAGTTCAACAAAATAGCTTGTCCCAGAGGTAGGCTTGAGCAGTTTTACCATGCCACGACTGGGAACTTTCAGTAAACATCAGTCAAGTAGGTTAATGTTAGCGTTGCGCCTGGGTTTTCCCCTCTGAGCATCTTATTTCTGTCATCCTGCAGTGCCAAGGGCCATCATTATTCTGAACTCTCTTCCCAGCATGCTGGATGCTCTGCACATGCAAATCTCAGCGCAAAACAACATACCAGACTGACTCATAAGTGTAAATATTCAACAAGCTGAGGATACGTGAAGCTGAGTGTTTACAGGTTTCACTGTAAAGAATTATTACACGCTGGAGGAAGACTCACTTATATCATTTAACATGAAAAATCCACTTTTGTGACAAATATAGTTTGGAAAACACACAAGCATAAAGAAAAAGGTTGAAAAATTATCCAAACGCTGTTGCCTCACTTTGAAAAATAAAGAATTTCACTAAAAATTGAGATTATTTTAAAATTACATCTATTAAAATACCCCAAAGATATAATTGTGTTGCAATTTCAGCTAAATTATTATATGTTTGCAATAATTTACTAGCAAAGACAGAGAACTATAGTATAAACAAACTGAAGTAATGTAATCTGGTGTATTTATACTCTAACTGGACACATTTTGATGAGTTGCTTGTCTTTTGTGGTGTTCAGTACAGGAATCTCGCTCTTTCTGCTCCATTTAGTAGCTTCTTTCTCATTCTTGGCTGTCTGATCAGTCTGGGTCTCGTCCAAACACACTCTCTCTCCTTACTTCACACACTCTCTGACAGATAATTTGCCCATATCTGTAGCATCTGAGCACATTTGATGTGGTTTGTAAAATGTCGGAGGCAGCAAGTCAAGATGCCAAGATGTTCGCTGGTTTACTCGGCCGTATGTGTGTCTGTCACCCATTGCAGTGGCTCAGATGCCTTCCCATATGTTACAGCTTATGACTGCGTGGCTGTGTGTGTGCGTGTGTGTGTGTGCATGGCGTAATGTTTATCTGGTTGTTGTGTGTCTTATAGAGGAATACAACACAAGCATTCAGGAGAAACTGCCTCTCATCATTGGCTCAGCAGCAGCTGGGCTGGTGTTCCTCGTTGCTGTGGTTGTAATCATCATCGTTTGCAACCGGTGAGTCAGTCTTGTGCCATCAGTCCAACTCCAGCAAATAAAAGCCTGTAAACTAGGTAGGAAAGTAGCCTTTATTCGTTGTAGTTTTGTTGCTGTTAGGTGGAATTGCATGTAGAGTACTGGCCCATGAATTTCATTTGAACAGATAATTTTTCTGTTTTGCTTCAGAAAGAATAATTTCTGATGAATTTCAATGATTTTCTCTAGAAAAAAAAGATAAAAAGTAAACATAAAAGTTGAAAGTGTTAGAAGGTTTGCAGTGCAGCTCCGTTCGAGTACATTGAATTTCCTAATTTAACAAAAACACACTTTAAAAGACCTAAACTATCCAGTGACTCTTAATGTACACACCAAGAAAAAAATCACTTGTTTGTCTCTTTTGTGTGATTTTTTATAATAATATAAATATAGTAAAAATTATAATAAAATAAATTTAGACTTCAACAATCATATTTTTTTATAGTTTTAAATTATTTTAATAGTTTCTTTTATTTTCTATATAAATTTTCCTGTGCTTCAATAATATAGGAAAGAAAATGAGCTAGTTTATTTTTATATTTATGTATTTATTAAATGTTTATTTATTTATTAAATTTAATTTTTATTGATGTTTTTTATTAAATGTTTTTAATTAATAAAATGTTATTTTTATTAAATTATTTTCATTTGTATTTTTTTTTTTTTTTTGCAGTAGGGTTAGGGTTAGGTTTACTGTAGATGGAAGCTGTTAAAAACATCAGCGTCTACCAAATAAAACTAGTTTTCTCAGAGAAGGAATCACTTTATTTACACGTTAAATACGACACTTTCCTTTAGGACATTAGCCAGAATAGGAAAGTGGAAGAGGTCATGGTTAATTCTTAGCGCCTCTCTGAGCCTCAGTTCGGATCAACAGAGACAAATTCAGATTGAGGTGTGTCTACAATTCTTTTATAGCAGTTCTTCAAAACATATTTTATTAACATTTGCACAATTTCTATTTATTAAGCTTTCACTCCAACATAACATTTTCATTTACGTAGGTTCTTTTCATTAGAAATTAGCTGCAGCATTTCATCCACGACTTGACACAAATTTTATCCCAAAATAAAATGTGAATTTCATGGTAATAAAATAGCGTTAGCTTGAACTGCCATGGTTGTTTTAAGACACTGCTGTTGGCCCTAACCCTAACCAGTTCATCATCACTAGGAGGGTTTTTGGTCACATCCTTTCCACAGAATGGCGCTCCAAAAGGTCCTTGCAGCTGTGGATTCTGTAATAATTAGAAAACAAAGAATTTAAGGTTGAGCCTGTCATATTCAGATCTACCAATACAAAAATCAATGCTTGGGCTTATTCCCTCAGTCTCTTTGTCAGTACAGTAGACCAGAAACATTTGCTCCCAGTTTAAGCTGAGACAGAAAAATGTTTTCATTCCTAACCAAACCAAACAAATCATGCAGCGACCCAACTGGTGTACGTTGCAAATAAAGATGAACATATGTGTTACATGATTCCTGTCTGGATGCCTTTTTGTTTCTAGCAATAAAAAAAAAAGGTGCGATCGTAACGGATCTGTCCTCAGCAAATTAACACCTGGAGGTGTTTGATTTGTGCGCTTCCCCCTCCCTCCTCCTCTTTGAACCGGAGCTAGAGTTCTTTGTCTTCTCCCCAGGAGGCGTGGCTTTGAGCGTGGTGATTCAGAATATACAGACAAACTGCAGCACTACACCAGTGGCCACAGTGAGTAATCAACATCTTCTCACTCTCATCCAAGGTTTTTTTTTTCTTCAGCGAAAGACAAACCTGTATCCATGACTACCCATTACACAGTCATCCCCTCACACAGCTTCCCTCAAACAGCTGTCTCCATGGCGACCACCTTGCTCTCTGCTGTCCTTGGCTATGGCCCCGCACAGCAGCGCTTTACTTCAGTGGACTGCGCTTTATCCTTCGTTTTTATTCTATTCTGTTCATTCAGAGTGGAGTTTCAACAAATGTTAGTTTTGACAAAAACATTTTATTTAGTTTTAGTCTTTTGACAAAAACTCCTTTTAATTTGAGCCCCAATTTAGTCGATTAAAATATATGTTTATGTACTTTTTCTTCTGATGCAATAATTTTTAATGTCTAAAGGAAATGTTAACCACACCTACTTGAAACAGTAAAGAAATATGAAAAATTAACATTTCACACTTTGGATCAATAAAACTTTACATTTGTAATTGTTTTAATAACAGTAATTAATAGAAAATACCAACATGCACACTGACAGTTTGAAATTGAGCCTCTCAGTATTATTAAAGTCAACAAATGTGTATCATGTGCAGTAATATTTGCAAACATGACAGGAGTCATACCAACATTAAAAGGTGTTATTTAAAAAACGCGAGGAGGTAAACTAACGATAAGAAATGTTTTCACGTGTATTTATTAGTTTTCCCTGCACTAATTTACCAAAGTGAGCTGCCTGAATGTTTTTCCTCACAAAAACACCGTTAGAACGCTGATAACATCGGCCACAGCAGCGCCACAAAGGTTCGGTTCGCCTTCAGCAATCCATCCACCTCCCCCACCAACGCCCGCTGCTACCACTGTAACACTTTTAAAAACAGGGGAAACCCCAGAGGTGTTCTCACCAAGCAAACACTTTTCAGATGGTCACATCTGGTGATTTTCCACCTAGCCGACGACGTTTTCTCCTTTTAGACATAGTTTGTTCAACTGTTACTAGCACAGACATTTATAAAGGATGTCTGTGGTCCAGTAGCAAGCTTATTCAGATAGTGGCGACCTCTGGACTCTGATTGGTTCTTTTGTCATCTAATCCTGTCTGTTCTGTTTGCTGATTGGTTCTTTTCGGCTGTTCTCCCATCAGTTCCGTTTTCTGATCGGATTTTCGTTAGTTACTTTTTGTTGTCTTTTATTCGTTGCAGAAAATTTAAATCAATAATCGTCATAATTTAGTCTTTAATAGAATTTCAACTTTATGTTAATGTTTTGTTTATATTTGCAAAAATTCCTTCATCACGAGAAAAAAAAATTGAACGCTGGTTTCAACCACCTGAACATTAATTTTCAATGGAGCATTGTGGAAAAACCCAATGATTATCTTTGATTCATCTACATTTTATAAAGACTGACAAATTCCCACCATTAGATTTTACAGTTAAATCGTCCCATTGTGTTTGAAGCAGGTCAGTATTCACGCAGGTCATTAGGAAGCTAATGCTCAGCAGGCATTTGCTATTGTCAAAATATTCTAAAGTTCCTGTGAAGGAATGGAGCTGCTCCATTACTGTGTCCCGTCACGGTGTAGATGGAGTACCAGAGTAAGGCTGGTATCTGACTTTTTGTACTATCCAAATATATAAGCCCACTTTTATTCCCTTTGTCCAGCAAATCTTTATTTCCTGTGTCCGTGCATCTTTCCCAGTGAAACCCAGCCGTGCTGTGACGGGTGTGCCGGGGAATAGCCGGGTGTTTCACAGCTATTATCAGAAGCCGGTGTGTCTTGCATGTATCCTGTCCCCACACCAGTCGCTGTTAAGGCTTTTGCCCTTGTTTATGGTGTGTTTTGCCATTAAAAGGAAGGTGGTCTTTGGATCGTGCTTCAGCTTTAGTAGTGGGCAGGGGGGGTTGCCTGTAAGATCTATTCCATCTGTTCCTCTGCAGCTCGGTTTCACACTGTACTCTGCCAGGTTTTGAGGTTGTATGCATGATTTTTCTGCTCTGCAGCAGGCCAGGCATGAGTTTACTATCCGTTCGGATAGCCGCAGGCCTGATGTGGAAGTACGGGCAGCATAATCGGCTTTAAAACTCAGGACACTTAAGTCCCTGAACACTTAAAGGCCACCTTAAGCCAATTTACCTGGCATCTTGGCTTAGGACAGGCAATTTATTTCAAGAAGTGGAGCTGAGCAATGCTAATATAGGACCCAGGCTTCTCTCCTGAGTGTTAACGGCTCTATGGCTCACTGGAGATGATGTATATATTAGCCCACTACATCATAGATAAGAGGGGCGGGGGTGCCGTGTCCTTGCTGACTGAACAACTACACACAGTAGTCATGAGGTACTTGTCATAGCCACCATTTATAATTACACCACCCCCTCCATTTTCCAACCTTCATTACTTTTATGTCGTTCAAAAAAACATATGATAATTGCACAGAAGAGCGGAAACAGGAAGGTGAGTGAATTATTACTGTGTCTCGCTGCGTTTGACTGTCCGGCCCACAGGACTGTTAGCATGACTACAACAATTAAATATTATAGTCGCTCCTTTCCTGTCTTACAAGTGTCTCCAGGAATGAAGATCTACATTGATCCGTTCACATATGAGGACCCAAATGAGGCTGTGAGGGAGTTCGCCAAGGAGATCGACATATCCTGCGTGAAGATTGAGCAGGTCATCGGCGCAGGTAATGGAGGTATCTACTGGAACGTGGGTGGGATGCAGCAAGCAGATTCTTAAGGAGATGCAGAAAAGGTGGATGACTCGAAGCAAATTCACACAGGATTGTTTTTATTTTTCTGTTACTTCTCAAATAGGAGAGTTTGGGGAAGTGTGCAGTGGGAACCTAAAGCTTCCGGGGAAACGGGAGATGTTCGTGGCCATAAAAACTCTGAAGTCGGGCTACACTGAAAAACAAAGGCGGGACTTCCTGAGTGAGGCAAGCATCATGGGCCAGTTTGACCATCCTAACGTCATTCATCTGGAAGGTGTGGTCACCAAGAGCAGTCCTGTGATGATCATCACCGAGTTCATGGAGAACGGATCTCTCGATACCTTCCTCAGGGTAAGAAGTCTGGTTATAACATTATGTGTGTTTGTTTGTGCTGACAATAATGTGGTAATTAAAAGTGAACATGCTGCTTGGAGGCTTGGAGGTCTCCATGAAGAGAAAACAATGTGATGATCTCAGTTTAATAAATCAATCAAGAATTGTTCTAAAACTGTGTGCTTCACTACGCACTTACTCACACTAACCGACAGTTACTCCTGCTATGAATACAGTAAATATTGTTGTTGTTTATAATGTGCCGTTATTACCGTTTTTTACGGACTATAAGTTGCACTTTTTTCATAGTCTGGCCGGTCCTGCTACTTATACTCCAGAGCAACTTATATACCAATTTATGTAGGCTATACCGCGCTGCTGCAGGCCGTCTCCGGACAAGGAATGAGCTCCCCTGCCCTGCTGGGAATAAAAAACACAGCCATCACCTGCTGGAGCATGTTGCGCGCCGTTGCGCACTGGATCCGGCCCAGGTCTCAGCTCCTCTGCCCCGCTATCACCTGCTGCAGCCTGTGGCGCGCTGCTGCGGGCGACTCCCACCCAGGAATGATCTCCCCTGTCCCGCTGGGATGGTTTCAAACACCGCCATCCTCTGCTGGAGACCGTGGCGTGCTGCTGCGCCCGCGTTGCTTATTCTGTTATTGTTACCGGTACTTGTCTTGCAATGTGAAATGCTTGGTCTCAGATTTTGTAAGAAAAATAATAAAATTTCCCCCCAAAATGCGACCTATAGTCCAGTGCGACTTATATACGTTTTTTTGTTCTTCATTATACATTTTGTGGCTGGTGCCACTTATACTCCGGAGTGACTTATAGTCCGGAAAATACAGTAGTATTTATTTATTTTATTCTTTTGCTGTTGCTACAGCTCACAGAGGAAACTTTAATTAACCAGAAATGCTGGAAGGAAGTGTACCACCAGCAGTTCTTAAATAAGTGAAAAGTAATACTTTGAAAGTGAAATGAAAGAGTATAAGAAAACCATAATTAGAACTTTTAAAGTTGCTGTTTTTGCAGTTTGTGAGGAAGAGCCTTTTATCTCTACGTCTGAATAAAACATTTAAAATTCAGTATGCTCTGGTTAGTTAGGAGATTCTCAAAAGATGCTTGCAAACATGTTTACATATAACTTTACATAACTACTCGTAAGCAAGTCACCCCCTACCAGAGAATTACTCAACTCCCACTTCCTGTTTGAAAAATGCAACAAATACTGTTGCCTAGCAGACCGAGGGCGGAGCCGCTAACAAATACACACACACAGGCTCACAACGACATTGTGACATCATATGGTATCAGCTAACGTTCTAGGGTACCTCTTAGCCAATAGCGATGGCAGATTTAAATTCAAATGCAGTGCAGAGTTTTTACCTGACAACGGCACTACACTGACAGTTTTAGGCAGAAATTTGTAACAAAAATGCACTTAAGTGCAAAACTATTGACTACACGTGTCTGCAGCACGATTAGACACGCAGAAATAAAGTGTATTTGGGGGTGACTTGCTCTTTAACTTCACAAGTCAAGTGGTTTTTAAGTCAGAGGAGCTGTAATCTGATATCTGTTTACTCTGAAAGCCTAAATATCTTGTCTAATGACTCAGTTTTAATTAGACTGGTTGTCTTTTATAATATTCTTTCATGCAAAACTATTGACTAATCAGAAATCGGGGTGTTTTATCTGCCATTTCTGCTAAATTAGCTTTATATTCAGTCTTTATCTTGCAGCTGATTTTCCGGCACTGGGCAACTCAGTGATCTTGTACTGATCCAAGTTCAGTTGGAGGTTTCTTCCTGTTAAAAGGGAGTTTTCCTCTCCACTGTCTCTACATGCTTGCATGAGGATTGTTGTAAAGACACAACAAGTCAGTGACTCAATGCAGCCGGCTGGGTTTCCTTAGCTAACAAACTTTGGAATAATGAACTGAACTCAATACACTGATGAGTCGGTTCAATTGGATTGTTTAAAGGGCTTTGAGATGACTCTTGCTGTAGTTTAATCTATATAAATAGAGTGAATTGAATTGAATGGTCGTAGCAGTGAGAAACATTACTGTCGGTACGAGACATAAAGTGTCAGAAAAACATCACAATCCATGAATGAGTAAAAATAAACAATTAAATAAAATTATTAGTCTAATAATTTCAAGTTTTTAAGTACTCTAGGAGCTGACTGTGTGAAACACACATTTACTATAACAAGAACATTTTTCAGACCTGCCCAAAACCTTTGTGGTTTATATATATATGTAATTAAAATCACATCCGATTATTTATTGTACATTAATTTAGCTTTTTTCTCCTGTGTGAGGTTATTTTGCAATATTCTAATAATTTACAGTATTATATGTTAATTATTGTTTTTAAATTAATAAATCAAAAACACTTGCCTACCATTTTTACATAAGAACTGTGTTTTTATTTCAAACTTTACAGCAACGTTAACCAAATGTCCCTCAATTAAAAGTTTAGAATTGTTTTATTCATTCCTTAGAAATTTTATTCATGGATAAAATTATTGTTTCTTTTTTAGTTGTTATTGTATCAAGAGTTTGATAAAGCTTCACTGCGAATGAATTAAACTGAATAGTTGTTGAAGGATAAACAAGTTTAATGTCACTTGTGGGAACATGTTCAGTTCTTTTTTATTTCAAACATATACATTCACAGTCCTTACAACTTATCCTTCCAAAAATGTATTTCCAACATGCAAACTTAACTCTAGTTAAAGATGGGAACAGTTTTAACTCAGCTCAATACAAACACGTCCTTCTAATCAGTCGTATCAGAAACAAGTTTCAACCAAAGACAACTATGTGGTTGCTTTAAACATGCAAAAGTCAGGTTATGTTTCTTTTTGCATCTCCATTGTCTTTACAACAAATTTAATAACGATAATAATAATGATAACAATAATAATAATTATCATTATTATTAACAACAAAACGAAGCTAAAAAACTAATAAACTCATGTACCTGACCATTTCAATGCTTCAGGATTTTTAAAAATCACGTTAAGTATTTTTTTATGTGTTCGTAATATTGGGCAGTGACATTATACCTAATATTATTTTGCATATTATGCCTAACAAGGACACATTTTTGCGCTGTGTGAAAATGTTGTCGGATTGTATTTATTTGTAAACACATTTTAAAAACAACTAACGCCAAAATTCTGTGCATAAAATAATAAGCAAATAACAAATAACCATAAAAATAAGAAAATCTAAATAAACTACATGAAAAAGTTGAGCTTTAGGATCTTCACGTACCTTATCATCTCTGCTCTAAATCATCTAAACCAAATGAAAGAATCACATTTGATCAAGCTGCTATTTGGGAATCCAACCATCTTATTTAATCATAACCCTGTTTGGTTTAGTAGTGCTTCTCACTGTGACTGTAATACTTTATACTGATGGTAGGATAAACTAGAGAACAAAACCTAATAACTTCACTGTATCCAGCTGCCTGAAACAAGGTCTCCATGTTTTAATTGATTCCCAACAGTATACCTTCTCTAGTCGTCCATGACCAGATCAAAGACATCCTGGAGAGGCTGACATAAAAGCTCCTGTCAGCACACTGCCGAAGCTGGGCTCAGAGCCTCGATTTGCATTCTGCCTCCGACCTCAGAGACGCTGAGCATCAGTTCTTTCTGGAACGTGACCCTGTGGTGTAGTGTGGACAGTACAAGTTCGCTAAACATATTTGACAACAAATAGTTTTTTGGAAAACAACATTGAACCTTTGTCGTGCCCAAAGGTGACAGTTTGACAACTTCCGCTGACAGTGTCAGTGCTCCAGAACAGTGTTTGTATCTCTGGTTCTGTTGGTGGTTGGTAGTTTATAGCGGTTCCTGCAGTGCACTGAGCCGCCCACTGAAGTATTGGCTTAACAGCTGGAGAAGAAATTTCTGGGTTCATGATATCTGGAACCGACTGTAACCTTAGAAAATAAAGAGCGAACGTCAGGTGGGGATCTTACGTATCTCACATTAGACCTTCACTTACAGCAGCTACGCTTCCGTCGGAAACCCTGACCTGAAAGGGATAGAAGGAGTTTGTCCAATTAAAGAAAATGCAAACACTGCGCTCAGATTAGGTGCCAATGAATTTTTTGTGAGACCGTTGCATGAATAATGCATTCTGTTTAATTGCTGTGATGCACGAGGATGGGCAGCTTGGCGTCAGGAAGAAGCATCCACTCGGGTAATGAGCAGCAAAGCGTTTGAAAGAGAAATAGGCTGGAGGAATTTGGCCATGCTCCGGGTCTTTCTTGCCTATTCTGCTTGTTTCCTCTCTTAGTCCTTCTGTCTGTCCACACTCATTCCTGCAGAATCCTCTGTTTTCCCTGGCGTCGTGGTGGGTGGTGGCGAGAATGCAGGTGTGCCCAGTTGGAGGCACAGCTGCAGCACAGCTCCAGACATTAGCTGAGCATGGGGTAAAGCCATCACTAAACGGAAAGGGGGACAGCTGTACGCAGACTGCCAGACCCAGCTTAGTCCCGCCTCGTCCCACCGAGGCCAGCTGAGCTCAATTAAAACCTGTTGGCACCCAGAAGGCCTGGGTAGAGTTTAACTTACCTTACTAGAAAGTCTTACTTTAACCAAATATTTACTTTTTCATTCTGTTTTCACATTAAAGGGGTTTTCTTTAAAATGCGTCCATTAAATCTAAAAACATATTTCACTTCAGAAAATTACATCATTCATACAAAGTAATTTCCTCCACAAAATCTTTATGTGAAGTATTGCTGTAGCCCTCTCAGCAAGTTGCCCTATTTTCCTGTTGTATGTCTTGATTTTGAGGTGGTTGTGATGGGGAAAAAAGCTTTTATCAAAAGGTCAAGTCAAGCTGTTGCAAGGTTATTATTAAACAAGACAACCTGACTAACAGTCATAAAAACCGACATATGGCAGGCAGTTTAGTACTTAAAGGCAGCCCCTGGTGAGAATCAAGCATTTGACCTTGTTAACATGTCCATATGGTGTTTTTATATGCAAGAATAAATATCCTGAGTAAAATAAGCTCCTAGCATCACAGCTGAGCGGTTCTACCTTGGAACAGTGATGCCGTTTTAAAAAGCTGATTGAAACAGCAAGAGTTTAATACATAACACACCTTAGGAGCAAATACAGGCTGGGAAATTCACAGCATAGTGTTGCATAGTGTGTAACTGAATACAATGGATGCCGATATTACCAGCCCACATGTCTTCGGCCAATATTTGCGTTAAAATGTAATATTGTAAATTGTCTGTAGCAGTTTTTAATATTTAATTGATGCAACTTTTACAAACCATGCACATATAATACATTCAGCTCTTCAGCTAATTCTCTCACTCAAAATGCCCAAAGATGACAGACCTGAGGTGTAATGTTTGAAATGTCTTCTTATTTATTTATTTTTTTTGGCACAACTGACCTAACCTAAATTGAAGTAGTTGTCCTGTTTTCCACAGATATTGTTTAAAATTTAAGTTAGCATTATAGAAGAAATGTGATTCATTACCCTAAACTTACCAAATTTTTTTGAGTGGGGGGACCCCCCCGCATAGATTGATATCAGTTTATATCAGTATTGGAACTAAGAGTTGGGCTATATCAGATATCAGTTTAAAAGAACACAGGAAACACCTTACCGCAGATACTGCCACCTACAGGTCACAATCACTCTTTTAATAAATGCTGTCAATTCAACCCAAGTTTAAACATTTTTTCCTGATGCTCAACATCTTCATGTTGTTTTCATAAAACTCTATTTGTTTTACAGCAAAACGACGGTCAGTTCACCGTCATCCAGCTCGTTGGAATGCTGCGTGGCATCGCTTCAGGCATGAAGTACCTTGCCGACATGAATTATGTACACCGTGACCTCGCTGCTCGAAACATCCTGGTTAACAGCAACCTCGTCTGCAAAGTATCAGACTTTGGACTCTCGCGCTTTCTGGAGGACGATACATCAGATCCTACGTACACTAGCGCTCTGGTATGTAACATCTAAGACTGACATACATGCTAAGCGCTCTAGAGAATGAGTCTTTTGGTCTTGCCTAAAGGTTTGTGGGTTATTTTAGGAGTCAAATGGAAGACTGACAGACATACTACATTGAATCCCAGTTTTGTTTCCCCTCACTGATTCTCATTTTCTTTCTTTAGCCCAAATCTTTCTCCCAAGGGTTTTGTTATACACACCTCCCAGTTTGGATTACCATCAGTATTGTTTCTGTGAACAGTGTTCCTCTCTGAAGCCAGGACTCTGTCTTGGTCAGATTTCGGCCTCACCTTCTTTGTTTGTTCCCTTTGTGTTCACAGGGAGGTAAGATCCCTATCCGATGGACTGCACCTGAAGCAATCCAGTACAGGAAGTTCACCTCAGCTAGTGATGTATGGAGCTACGGGATTGTCATGTGGGAAGTCATGTCGTACGGAGAGAGGCCTTACTGGGACATGACCAACCAAGACGTGTGTACTCAACACGCATATCATCATTTCTGTTAGCCAAGACGACACTCTCAAACATTATTCTCTAATCCTCACTACACACACACACACACACACACACACACACACACACACACATTTCTGTCTCACTGTGTTTCATTATAGCCTCAAAATCCTCAGAGAAAAATGCTGTCACTGATATCTGCTTCCCCTTAGCAAAACACATGGGTTTTGTAAAAAAAAAGATTCCCCGTACACACACCACAGAAGCATAATCAGATAATTTGAAAGCACAGTAGTGCTCAGTGGACAATCTCTGCTCTTGACTAGAGTCTCCATTTTCCATCTCCCTCTGGGTAGTGAAGGAGGGAGCAAATTATGGGGGGGAGAGAGATAATGAAAATAGTTTCAAATTGAAAGTGAGAACACTAATGTGCTAAGAGGGACTGAGGACCTCAACGGTTATCATATTAGCAGCTCTAGATAGTGTTTCTGCTCCATCGGGGTCCTTGTTTGGAGGTTTTGTGAATAAGATTAATCTGAGTCTGAATGGAGTTTCTTTAATGGCCCTGATAATGAGCTGGGGATTGCATGGCATCTTCACAAGTGTCCTTGAGGTTGTTCCTCTCTGTTAACTGTGCATCACCTCTGTGTACATAAGTCAGATATATCTGTAGGTTGGTTTTCTGGAGGGAAAACTTTAATTAAATGGAAAAGGTCACACATCGGGCCGTTTTATATGGCCAGTTAGGCTAAAGCGATTACACTTCTCCCGTCAAGTCGGAGATGGAAAGACTCAACTGATGCATCAATGCAAGGGCTCTGCTGCAGGTCTGTAGACGGTGACAGAAGCACGCCCAGTTTCCTAACTGTCCATTGAAATCTATGTAGAACGCAAGCCTGTGATTGGTCAGGACGCCACTTCATTTAAATCTATCAACTGCCAGACTTCTTGCAGCAGACAGGAATCACATTGAAGAACGCCTCACAGAAGAGGTCTGATGGTTCACGAGAATTTGTACAACCTTCACTAAAGGAGTACAAAGATGTGCAGAAGTCTTTTATTTGGTGGAAGGACATTACGGAGATGAGGGTTTAGAGGTGGAGAATGAGGGACAAACATGTCCATGTTAAAGGTCAACTTTACCCATATTTTTAATACATGTGCAGTGGTCTTTAGTTGGAATGACTGTCTTTCTCTGGGAAAAAAAGGTTTAGTGCGTCTGAGGACGTAGAAGACAAAGTGGCAAACACGGCAGGATTTATTTCATGATATTTGGACATCTCGCCTCTGATTGGCTAACACCACTGACTCTGCATTTCTCTCTACAAATAACACAAGCCTGAAGGAGTTCCGTCATGTATTGGAGTTGCTAATGCTAACAATTAGCTGCTACTAGTCAAGATGCGCCTTGGCTGTCGCGAGCCAAGTTGAGAGAGTCCATGGATGCTAAGTGACAGTGTGACGTAGATTTGTCAGGCTTTTCTGAGCCGAGCGATTTTCTGTCCATTCTCCATCAGAAGCTAATGGAGGATAAGGGGTAGGAGACAATTTTCATGTTCAGCCTGCATGAAAAACTCAGTTAACCACCCTAACCCACATACATAAACCGTTTTTATGTTTGAAATAAATGTCATAAAAGCTAAACATGTTTGAACTTTAAGTCTTCTCTTTCTAAAGCATCTGAATGAGCTCTGCGTCTCTCCCTCAGGTCATCAACGCCATAGAGCAGGACTACCGGCTGCCTCCACCCATGGACTGTCCCAGTGCGTTGCATCAGCTGATGCTGGACTGCTGGCAGAAAGACCGCAACAACCGGCCCAAGTACAGCCAGATAGTCAACAACCTCGACAAGATGATCCGCAACCCCAACACATTAAAAGCTATGACTCCTTTATCTTCAGGGTGAGCAAAAAGCAGCTTGTTGTTCCAATTTGGATTATGTTCTCTGGTGCTTTTGTCCTTTTTTTCCTCCAGTTTGAACTCACTGTGTGGTATTTGCATATGTGTTTCATCTATACTCTGTAGACATCCCACACGACAAGCTTTTCATTTCTAGCATCACTTTATACGGAAACAAATACCATCCTTAGGAGTTTTTGTCAGCACGAAGGCTTTCCACTGTTAACGCACAATCCAAGCTCGCTGCGACAGTGTCATCCATGGCACGTCTCACGTTTGCCAGAAAGAGGCTTTCTTGTCCTCCTGGCGCCGAGCGGTTCTGTAAATTAAAGCCTTTTGGTTTGATATATCCAATCCTTCCCACGAATTGCTTCAGGCGAATTCTGGGTTTGAGCAGTTTTCAAAACAAAACGCTTTCAAGCATTTGTGCTCTGGGTGTTAGCTTGCTCCAAAAGCCAGCGTTTGCTGATTTCCATTATCCCCGTCTGTACTTTCATTTGTGGCAGAGCGCAGGACCATGGGCCAGATTTTCCACAGACACTGAGTGGATACACTGGCTCCCTGAAGACTATCACCTCATTTGGAAAATACAGTTTACGAGGAATCAGTTTGGAAAATATTTTTTTTCATGGATTAGGCTTGTGGGATTTTCAAAGTTCTTTCTGGCATTTAGAAAATGTAACATAATAATTCATGTTTGAATCACACACAGGTGGTCCAAACTGGCTATGATGTTAGACCATCAATTACGCATGAATATTCTAAACCTCTCCTTCTTGTCTCCTCAGTGTCCATCTCCCTCTTTTGGACCGCAGCATTCCAGACTTCTCCACCTTCAGCAGTGTGGACGAGTGGCTGGATGCCATCAAGATGGGCCAGTACAAAGAAAACTTTGCCAATTCAAACTTCTCCACATTTGATGTGGTGTCTCAGATGACCATGGAGTAAGTGCTAACGATGCCTTACGTCTAAGTCTGATAACTATTCTAGGAAGTCTTTTCTGACTCTGACCGAGTCCAGAACCATAGCAGAATCAGGACTTTGTTAAAAACTCTGGATGTAATTTTCAGATCATAATGTTGTCGGTGGGAGGCTGAACAGTCGGACCATTAGTGGAAAGCGGGGTTTATCTTCTGTCGTGTGTTTTAAAAGGCTTCTCTGTGACCTCAGCTAAAAGTTTCAGCAGAAACAGCAGAGGAAGTACAACAGAACTAATAAAAAATTCACTTTTAGAAAGTAAAAACCTAAATCAACATCCCTCAGTGAATAACAGCCAGAGCCAGAGATCTGCACACGGATATTTTTGGTACAAAGTATTTTGCTAAATATATTCCAACAAGTGGAAATCCACTCACATGGAGAGGTTATTGTTTTATTGGTTCAAAGTTTCCTGATGCAGTTTCTTTTACATACAATGTAAAACCACATGTGTGAGCCAAAAGGGAGAAGAGACAAATAAAGTAAAGGGAAAATTCTAAATGTCAAGAAAATTGTCAAAATACAGTTTCCAAATGTAGCTACTTTAAAAATAGCCCAAGGAGTTGAACACCACTTAGCTTTTCAACCAGGTTATTATTATTAATATTATATATTATATATTATTTGTATTATTATTATTATTATTATTATTATTATTGTTGTTGTTGTTGTTGTTGTTATTCTTATAATAATAATAATTATTACTATTCTTATTATTATTATTACTGAGGGTCTTAAACTGGGTAAACTTGAGCTTCTGTCTTTACTTCCCTTAGAGCGTCCAAAGACAAACTCAAATAGTATCATCCCAATAACACACACACACACACACACACACACACACACACACACACACACACACACACACACACACACACACACACACACACACACACACACACACACACACACACACATTTCATAAAACATTTTTTTGAAATCTAAAGTTATTCATTCAAACATGATACTACATGGACCACATGCCCACGTGTCGGTGATAGCTTAGTTTTTTATGACTTTTAATCTCGTGAGAGCAACTTTATTCTCACTCTGACACAAAACATCTCCGTTTCATGACCCTCGTGTGGTTTTATATAGTCTGGGTTGCTGCTTTGAGCCTAAAAGCTTCAGTCACAGAAAAATATTGACTGTCAAACGTTGTGTTTGATTAATGAAACTATTCTGGCGTCTGAAACGTCCCAACACAAGTCAGAGAGAACGGAGCGCCTGCAGGTTTTGACTGTCAGAAATTTTCATCGAGTGCCAATGCTGTCGTCTGTTGTCGTATTGCGTTGTGTTTCTGACTGAAACGTATCCAGCTGTCTTCCTCGCAGACACGCACATCGATAGGCATGAATATAGACAGACAGATGGGTTGAGAGTGAGAATTGAGAATGTTTCTAACCTGCGGTAACATTAGCTTGACATCTGTTTCTGTGCTCCGCAGTGACATCCTGGGGGTCGGTGTGACTTTAGCAGGCCATCAAAAGAAGATCCTGAACAGCGTCCAGATGATGCGGGCACAGTTGAACCAGATCCAGTCAGTGGAGGTTTGACCCTCCAGAGAGGAGCAGAGGGGGGAAAGGCTTTTTGGAAGACACGGCTCTGGATGCGGTGGACGGAGTGGATGTTTGGCTTTTTTCCTTTCTTTTTTCTTTTGAGTGGCAATGTGTCTGGTTTTCCCACCAGGCTTCCATCGAGCCCCCGTTCCTACTCTTCTCATCTTCTCCCCTCACCCTGACTCAGATCAGCTGTGGCGAGCGGCGACAACATGAGTCGGAGTGACGAAGAGTCCGGGCGGGACCCCAGCCCCGCCCACCTTTAGATCCAGAATAATGGGAGGTTAGACATGACCAGCAACCCAATTCTCAATTTTCCACCAACTTTTATTTGTTTTTCAGCATTTATTCAACTTTTTTGTTTTGTTTTGTTGGTTATGAGGATTTTGTAAAGATTTTTTAAAGAAGAGAGAAAAACTGATAAGAAAAAAATGAGTTTATCTAAATTTATAGATAAATATAAGGTTGAACACTAGATGAACTGAGTAGGGAAGCTACCCTTTAAAAGGGCAACAGAAGAAGAAGAAGAAGAAGGAAGGGTTGGGGAGAAAATCCTCAGCAAGTTGTGAATATTATTTTTATTTTTCGGACATTGTGTGGAAACACAGAAGTCTCTGTGGCCTTCTGTAGGACTAACTGGGGGAACTGGGAACTTGGCGAGCACGTCCCACTGGCTCCACTGGTGTTATTATAATAGAAACAAAAATAAAGGATGGAATGGGACAACCTGTGGCCACAATCAATCAGATGGACAATTCATGCAGTGAAATCGGCTCTGAAGAAAAAAAAATAACATTTTTTTCTCACTGCAAGAAATTTTCTTTATTGTTGAAATTTTGTGATGAAGATTCCTTCCTACCATGCTTCCTTACACTGAAGACTAGGACTTTGATTTGATTTTGTTTCTTTCACAGTGAAATATTCAGTCTGGCCCATAGAAGTCTTTCCCGTGGCCCTGTAGACACGATCCTGTACTGTACATATCAGATGCACTTGACCTGCCACACAGCGATGACTCAGAGACGGTTGTTCTGTTCGCTTGGTTCAGGAGCAGAACCGACTACATGGAAGATTTACGAAGGTGTCACCTTTAGCTGCGTTTGTTGTTTTTCTTTAGTGTGTGAGGAAAATTTTGTGTAAAAAAAAAAGACAAATGAAACAAAAACAGCAAACAGACACCCGCAGAGATTTTTACAGAATAAAAAACATGCAGTTTACTACATCCACCTCTACGTGCACTAGAGGCAACTCATTACAGTATCCTCCCTCGTACTTTTCTATTCAGCCTGTCTGTGCACACTTGCACATGTTGCATACAGGCACAAAGCAGCAGTTGCTCCCGAAGTGTCAGAACTGATGTTTGATGGCATGCCGAGAGAGTGGTTAGTGACACAAAGCTTTGATTTGCTGCAGTGACTCAAATTCTTTTTGCTGATAGCGTGGATTTGAAACACATGCGTTATAAACTCAGTCTTCTTCCAGTTTTCCCTTAGAAAACCATATTTATGTTTGTTTCTACACCACAACGATGGTCTTTACATTCACACATACAGTAATCATGCGGTCAACCTGCACTCAGTGTTTGTGTGTTTATTATAGACATGTTTGTATGGATGTTATTCAATTGTTATTATTTTCAAAGTTTCTTTCTGCACTGGTCTGATTTCCAGTGGCGTGTCCAGAAATTTTTGTAGGGGTGGCCAGGTGGGGCTGGTGAAAATTGTGGGGTGGCACACCCAATTCGTCCTTTATTTGTTTAAATGAAAAATCAATATGCATCTAACACATTTACCTTGCTGGCGGTGGTCGGTGGAACCGGTGGCGCCGGCGTTGGTCAGCCTCGCCTCCGTCAGCGAGTCCCAGGGCAGCTGTGGTTACAATGTAGTTCATCACCTCTAGTGTGTGAATGTGTGTGAATGACTGGTTATGTTGTAATGCGCCTTGGGAGGTAGTAGGATCCTAGAGGTCGCTCTACAAATACAGGTTATTTACCTTTTTTTTACCTTAAATTTGAGAAACAAACATTTCAGGAAAAATACATAATTTCAAAACAGATTTATTGATTCAAATGTATTCTTTCAGATCTTTAGAAATGTTTATTTTGCCTATTGATGTCCCAACAAATTCATCCACAAAAACTATTGAGATTGACTTTTGTTTTTGAATATTGTGAGTAGGGTTGTCACGGTATGAAAATTTAACCTCACGGTTATTGTGACCAAAATTATCACGGTTTTCGGTATTATCGCGGTATTTTTTAAACGGTGTTGCATATGTTCAGAAAGCATTGATAGTCCTGTTCTACACAAACTGAAATAGTTCTGAAAAGGTTTAACAGTGTTTATTAAACCTAAAATAACACAAAGCCTTAGCAAAAGTGCAACTTTTCACAAGTAAAGGAACAAATAGCTTCTTTTTCTGGAACATGTTACAGTAGTCAGTGCAGGTATAAATTATACAAATCCAAACATTCAAAACATAAACAATATGTAAACAAATCAAAGAAACACCACTTGTTTTCTCATATACTTGTTTTCTTCATTATCAAAATGAAAATCTAAAACTCCAGTCCACACTTGACTTGAGCTCTGTACAAGTCAACCTTAAAAAAATATGCATTTAAAATAAATAGCCACTTTAAACAAATTACTAAAATAACTACTACACTATGTAATCAAATCCAAATGTTCAAGTATAAATGGCATTGAATAAGTAAACAAATCAATGACAAGGAACTAATTGTATATTTCTCTTCATCATCAACAAATAAGATGCTTCATCCAGCAACAGGGTGTCCGTGACACGGTTTAAATGCTGGCAGAGGACGCTGCGGCTGCAGTATATAGTGACTCGTTGCATTCTCCCTCAGCCAAAAGTCCTCACGTCATGCATTTAAGCTAAAATGCTAATGTTAACTTACCTTGCACTGGCTGTAGAGACGTGGGTGATCGTCACGCAGATGTGCCATTAGATTCGAAGTGTTGCTGCCTTTTGCAGACACTTGCTTCCTGCACGTTCTGCAAACGGGATAGCAGTCTTCTATTAACTGTCCCTCAGCATTTTTCAGAAATCCAAAATATGCCCATACTTCCGATTTAGTCTTCTTTGAGGGCTGATGGATGTCCTGGGCGCTGCCGTCTCCTCCTTCGGCCATTATTTCAGCTTCAAAGTTTTGGTGCCGTTGCAAACTAAAAAGTGCGTGTGCGCGCCGCGGGAACTTCAGCTGAAGCGACGGTGGCTGGTAAGGGTCATCGCGCCGAAACCGCGGCCACGGTAAACCCACCGAGATAATATAGTTTTTTAAAAACTGGACGGTTATTTTTATTGTCAACTTTTTTACCGGGGTTTACCGCTATACCGGTTACCGTGACAACCCTAATTGTGAGCCTCAGCGAAATATTTAAATTCTGATTTATTTGCTTAATAATTATAAATGTTTCTACTGGCTTTAAATTAATGTTTTGATTATAGTAGATGCATTTATAGTTTGCTTGAACATGCATATGATTTAGTAAAGAGGGAGGATGTCTTTCCTGGGGGTTCATTGGGGTGGCCAGGCACCCCCCAGCCACCTCATGGGGTGCCACTGCTGATTTCAGCCAACTTTCTGGATCTTCCATCATTAATTTGAATTTATTTTTGAAAGAAAATTGAAGTTGGTGCACCAAATCATGTAGATAAACATGTTGTAACAGGTTTCATTCTCTGTTCTCTCTTTGCTTGTGAGCGCTTCTGTCTCACGAGTACAGAGCTGTCAGTTTGTGTCGTCTCCAGTAACCCGTTGTGAGCCTCGTCGGTAGAAAACGTGGAGTCTAGCACTGCCTAGCTATTCTCCAGAGACAGTGAGTCAGGCGAGGTTTTATGCACACAGCCAACAAATAATAGTCAGCAATGCAGAAATCCCCACTTGGCTCCGCGCTGAGACCTGACAGTCAGACATGGACGCCCAGCTGTGAGCCATCGGTCTGATGTGTCTGGTCACAGCGGGACGGCTGCACCCAGATCACAGCCGTTGGGTCCAGGCACCTATTCATCTCAGTCCTCCTGATAACACACATTCCTGTCGACCACCTGTCAGATGCTTCCTCTGGTCTCCTCGCAGTCGGCTTTCACCAGTTGTCCGGTTTCGTCTCGGCGTGTTTAAAAGCCCCAACAGCAGGACAGCGGTGTCTCGTCTTCTCCCGACGCTCCCGCCGCCGAGATTCCTCCAGGCTAGATAATGCTTCCATGTTTGCTTAAACCAAATTCCCCAAATCTCTCCCTTTATCACACCCAGCTGTCGATACACCAAGTCTTTTTTTCTCTGCAATTACCTGCTTGATCATTTCCATCTTCGGTGTGACACTTCCCAACCGAAATCTCCATTTTTATCCGGTCCCTGGTGGAGAATCATGAGCCGTTCAGCCAAATTAGGAAATTATGCTATGGCTTGCCACCGATGTTTTGGTTTTTACCGACCTTTACCTCATCTTCCCCTTCCATTTCTCCATTGCTAACAGCTCATCTCTTGTCTCTGAAGGCAGTATGTCTTCCCGTGGAACAGGAAATACTTTGCTGTCAAGAAAAGCACTTAATGTGTGAGGAATTAATCTCAAGTATGCACAAGGCTGGTGAGGTGTTTCTCTGCTCCGGGGCCATTACGGCTCATTCCGATGCTTGTCCATGGATGCTGCCAGGACTTTGAGTTATTAATCAAGCAATTATCCTTGACATTTACTTTGAGGAATTACCTTCAACAGGGTGTAGGAGCTGAGCATGGCTGAAATGTATTTTATCTTTTGCTGCAAAGCAAATACGTTTGGTCATTTGCTTGGTCTCCGTGAGCTCTAATGGAGTATTAAATAGTTTAGAAGGGTTATTTTTAGCATTGGATGATTCGCAGCTGCACAGGAGAGAGTTACTGTTGCAGTCCAGGTCTGAAACATGACACATGGACCTTTATTAGTCATTTAAACTAAAGATGCATTCATTATTATTTGAGTCCTAACTGAAAAAGACTGAAGATTTCATTTCAGGGTAAAATTGTTGTCCCGTACAGTTGGACATGTCTGAAGTTCGTGTCTGATGGGAGGTAAATAATTAGTAAATATAATTAGAGGATGCACTGGCGTGCTTTGTTTCATCTGCTCTCCAATTCCCTTTAAAGCAGTTTTTCCTGCTGCAAACCTTCCACAAACCGTATTCTTCTAAAGTTTAACAGTTCCAAAGTTAAACAAAAATCTACAATTTGTCCCCTGCAGAGAAAAAAGAACACATTGTGATGCCAGTGATGGTTTTACACACTTGCCAATTGCATATTTTAGTGACACAACATGTTACTTTCTCCTGTTGCATCTGTGTTCCATCTATTCACCTCCCCAACCTCCCACCCCCCCTATAGTGTGCCAATTTCTGAGAGGACAGAAGGAAACGGTTAAGCCTCGGTGCTACAGTTGCATGATGGTTTGCATACATACAAACTCTGCCAGGCGATGTCCACTGGGCTGCATCTGAACACCACCTAACTACATCAGGGTCAGAGCAAGACGTCTGTCTCCTGTTGCAGTGGATGGAAAATGGCTCCTGTTGAACAGCTGCAGCAGGAAGCACCAGGGCACCCTCTACTGACAGATCTTTGGTCTTGTTGAGTCTGAACACTGCAGCAGGCAGACCTCCAGTGTTTTGGAGACTGCAGCAAGCTGCTGATGGACAAATACTGGCTGCTGGTGCTAAGAGCAAGTACTTTTCCCTCACTTGGATTAACATTCATGCCACTACAGTGTCCTGTTCTCTTGAGTGATTGTGTGTTCCCCTCCGTTGCCCCCACCCTCCACAGCTCTGGGTTAGGACAGTCGGTGTTCCTCTGCTCTGCTAAAGCCCACTCGATAGGCCAGTGCCGGTTCAGACCACTGTGACTGATGTGGGAGATCCTGTATTTCTGTATAAATGTACATTGACTGTATCCCTGTGAATGATGTAACAATTTCATTATTTGTAATATTGTCGTTTTTATTTTCTAAAAATGGAAAACCCAACTTGACTCTCCTCAATAAAAAAAGCAGATCTGTTATAAAAACAACTATGATGTGTAGTTATTATTATTATTATTAGTAGTAGTAGTAGTATTAGTAGTAGTATTAGTATTATTGTATTATTATTATTATATATTAAAGCCATAATGATAATAAATTAGGAAAAGGGAAATATTTTGCATCATTTTGAATCAAAATACATATTTGGATGTGTGTGTGTGTGTATATATATATATATATACACATATATATACACATGTATATATATATATATATATATTATATATAGGTATACACACACACACACTAATTTGACATTAAACATGCAACAATCTCAAGTTATAGCTTAGGTTAATTTTAAAATCTGACATTTTTGTGTTTTATTTTTCATGTAACTTTTATTTTTGAGGGGAAGAAACACAAAGCTGTCTCCCCTCGATGCAAAGAGGACCAGAGGTCGTCAGCATGAAGGTCACATCCAGGTTAGAATAAAATAGATGAATTAATTTGCTCCAGTAGCACCAACACTTAGAGAAAAGGTAAAATAATAAGATTACAGTTAAACACACAAAGGCAATAAGCTATTATTACAACCTCTAAAAACAACAAATAAATCTGCTGCTGAGGTAAAATTATCATGATCTTCATTTTTTATTTATCTAATCATTCAAAGTAAAATAAACATTTAACCTAAATATTTATGGAGTTATTGTTAGCTGAATAAAACCAATGATGACAGAGCAGCCTTTTATTTTTAAAGTTTCGTTTCATCACAAAGTGCTTTGATTTATTACAAATAATAAAAAATCAATATGCTTTTCTTTCTAACGAGTCAATAAGGTGATGATGATAAAAACAACACTGATGAGGGTTTATTTAAAGCACATTTATGTTTTAATAATAGTTTAATAAAAGCAAGAAAATATTTACAGAAAATGTGCACCAAGGTACGAACATTTTCAAAATAAGGAAAAGTATAAATAATTATTGATCACATAGAACAACAAGATAAAATATGCAAATGATCAATTTCTCAATAAAAGCTATTTGCATCACAATTTGCATCCCAGTTGAAATATAACAATAATTCTGCAAAATAACAAAATGAGTAGAAATATGTAAAAATAGCTTAAGACCAAAACAACAATAATACATCAGAAAACGAGTTCAACTATTTAAGAGAAAAATACTTATATAGATGCTGATTAAAGGCATCCACATGCAGTTATTCTAAAGATGAGTTTTTAACATGTTTTTATGTTTAAGCTCGCCCCGTAGTGATGAAACCGTGGTTTGGTGCTGCAGCACCTCAGCTTTAGGGCTGATGAAGAACCACGGGACAGCAGGGAGTCGGAGCTGGAAGCCGGAATGTTTTCTGTGCATTTGTCGGGGGTTGGCTGCACGTCCGGCTCCAAGTTCAGGATTTGCTTCTTCCTTTTTACTTTTAAACCAATGAATTTGTCATTATTTTATCTACTTTTATTATCTTTATTCATGCACACAGTTTTATGGCTGCATTATAAAGTCTGCAAAGTATTAATTACATGATTAATATAATATTGAAAATAATGAAATACTTTTCATAAGTCTAAGTATTTTTGTATATTTCATTTTTAAGCACTTTTAAAGAAAACTGATTAAAAAATGACGTGAATTAATTTTTTTCTCTTTTTCAGTAATGCAGATTTTTTTTTATGCGGTGAGTCTAAAATAAGCATTTTGTGTCTTTTACAAATCTAAAGAGTTGGAGTTTCCTGGCTTCATTCCTAAATACACAAAATAATATCTAATTTTAAACATGAAAGTCTAAAACGGGATTAAACTTTTAAGAAGATGCAGCTCAAGAGTCAGTGATGGCTTTCATTTCATAAATGTCACATTGTATATTCATCAGGAAGACTTACCAACAGACATCTGCAGCTCCAGGAGTCCTTTTAGGGGTCAAACGAACATTTGAGTTCTCCTCAGAGCCAGACTCCTGCACATTGTTCTGTGGTTTTATGTCAGAAGCCATTTATAAGAGCGCCGCCGTCTCCGCATGGCTCGGTTTCTCCAGCGTAGGTCAGACTCTTGAAACCTCATTAGCAGCCGGGGCGTGAAAGGCTAGAGACCTCGGCCTGACCCGGTAGAGAACGGCACGTGTTAAGAGGTTTACCCTGAGCGCAGGAGAGAGGGAGGTTCAAGAGTTCAGTGGAAATGGGGGGGCCCCAGTGGTACACCATAAGCGACTACCTTTAGCCCACCCATGAGTCCCCCTCCCCACCTTCCTACACCTGGGCAAATCAGGGCCAGGCGCATGGGAACAAACTGCTAAAAGGTTTTAATCTGGGATGTAAGCAAACAAGTCGTTGGGGAAGAGAGGGTCTGAGCCAGGTTAGTGTCATTTGACTGATGTAGGTGGCATTTTATTACCTAGCTACCAGACGAAACACAAAAACATCTGAAGTGATGGAAAAGCGTGTATGACTTGTAGGATTGGAAAGAGCGCGTTCGCAGGTCGTCGCTGAGCTTCTGTTAGGAAAACAAACGCTTGCTGAAGGATGAACATACCTGTTCGTCAGTGTTAAAGCTTCTTATCCGAGTCAGATCATACGTTTACAAGATGAAGGTGATCCCGTTTAATTTCCATCCATCCATCATCGCCCACTTATCCGGGTCAGGTCGCGGGGGCAGCAGCCTAAGTCGAGACGCCCAGACTTCCCTCTCCCCAGCCACTTGGGCCAGTTTCTCCTGGGGACTCCCAAGGCGTTCCCAGGCCAACCAAGGGACGTAGTCCTCCAGCGTGTCCTGGGTTTTCAGGTCTCCTCCTGGTTGGGTGACGTGTCTGGAAAACCTCACCAGGGAGGCGTCCATGAGACATCTTAACCAGATGCCCGAGCCACCTCAGCTGGCTCCTCTCGATGGTTTGATTTAGGCAACTTTTGTGGAAATGATTAGAATAGTTTTTGACTGAAATTTTGAAGCGTCCATCTGAACGTTATTAGACGGTCACCCAGGCCAGGATTTCAGAAGCACGGTCACAATCTGACTCAAAGTCCTGAGCTGTGGCATCAAAATGTGCTTAAAATTACTCTCTTTGCTCCAATCCGTCTGTTTGTTTTATGCTGTCCTATCTTTTATTGTTGTGTATTTTATCTCCGTCTGTAAAGTGTCCTTGAGTGTTTAGAAAGGCACTGTTGAAATAAAATGTATTATTATTATTAAAAATGTGTTTTAAATCACAACACAGTTCTCGTTGACCTTTGACCTTTTGGTAAATTGTCATAATTTTATAGCTTCATTCAAATTAGTAACAATAATTTTGTGCATGGATTTTAAAATTATGCACATTTTAAGCTTAATGCATTCACATAAACTTTGACCATTGACTCCTAAATTCCAATAAGCTAGAAAATAATTTGAATAAAACAAAAAAACAATCAATTAAAATACGTCGAGGCATCTCTGAAAAGGGAGAAGAAATGGTTCTGAGAATGAGTAAATGATCATGAGACTGAATCCCGCTGGCATGGCCGCCATCGCTGCAGAGGTGGGAAATCTGCGGAAAGCGTGTGAGCATTTAGCAGATCAAAGACTTTCCATTGGTTCGGATCTAATCTAAAGTTTTTAGTTTTTACTGAGAGCACAGCAGACTCACACATTCTTTAAGTCATTGTGCTGCTTTTAGTCACTTCAGAACACTGATGGTTTAACTGAGCATTTCAAAGATGGCTGACTTTTAGTAAAACATTTATTCAATGATGCAGAAACAGTTAGACTGAAAACACACACTAGAAAAATTAATGTTTACTTAAAATAATAATTATTGTTCACTAAATCACTGGTCAAACACGTTGCACAATTTTTCATGAAAACCGTGTCTTGAGCTGCATTTATTTAACATGTTTATTGTTTCTTTGATCTTGTTATAAGAAAACAAAGAAGACTGCTGAGATGATCACAAGGCAGGAATATTTCTCTCTGCAGCTCTATAGCGATGAGTTTAGACTTAGAGTAAACCTGCCAAATAATAAAACGTTTCACATTATTTTGCAGTTTTGCTCATTTAAATTAAAGTTAAAGGAGCAGAAAATGAACTCAGACTAATGTGAATTCCTTGCAGATATTTTGCAAACTGTTTGAGACTCCGACCATCTAAATTTTAATGAATAAATGTAAAAAGAACTATATATATAAAAATCTATATTATATATATATATATATATATATATATATATACATATATATGTATATATATATATATATGTATATATATATATACATATATATATATATATATATATATATATATATATATACATATATATATATATATACACATATATATATATATATATATATATATATATATATATATATATGTATATATATATATATATACATATATATATATAAAAAATACTACTAAATAAAATGTTTTGCTATGATGGTTAAAGAAGGGCTAAAACAAATGTGTTTCATACATAATTTTTTATTCTTTATTGTTTTAAATCTTTTCTTTAGCATTAACACTGACAAAACCATCACTAAATGTACACACATTATGATCTAAGGCTAAACAGAAAAGTGTGTCTAAATAGCTGAAGATGTCAAACAGAGACCAACAACAACAAACCCAGCATGGCTGCACCACTCTGTACCAGAATACATACACTGCAGCAAATTTACCAAAAAGCATCAAAACTGATGGTTTCTGCACCAGGAGGACATTGGAAACTTTCCTTAATAGTAACGGTGAAATGAAAACTGTATGTGGCCTTCAAGGACATCAACGCTAAAGCGAGGCTGAGAGGAAGAGTTCACAGCCCCGTGTTGTGGAAAGACCTCCAAATGGGTCAGAACTGTCACGAGTCATTTCCATCACGCCCCGTTCAACACATGATGGCGAGTGGAATCAGAATAGACCAAGACAGTCCTTCCTCAGAGCGCAGTGGGCATGGATCTGTTTTCCACACAACTTTCGTTAAATGGGAAGAAGCACCGAAGTCGGAACCTGGTGAGTCCGAATTTCAGGAGTCAGGAGACGGTGCAGCACATGCTGCTGCTC